CTGGAGGAGCAAACCCACTTTCTGGAGGAGCAAACCCACTTTCTGGACGAGGACCGCTGTATGGGATCATTCAATGCCCCCCCAGTGAGAACCCCATGGCTGCTGCTGATCCTCCAACCCAAAACCCAACCCCAACCCCAACCCCAGCCGCCGTGCCCTCTCTCCCAGAAGCACTCACCTCCCTCAGGATGGCATTGCCATCGTTGGTCATCACAATGCCTCCCATGGGGTCCAGCAGCATCTGCAACCCAAAGATGAGCTCTGCTGGTAGGACGCCCCGACGCGCAGCGCTCAGCCAGGGCGCAGCAGGGAGGGCAGCAGCACTCACCTTCATCATCGCCCTCGGCCCCAGGCACGTCCGGATGATGTCAGCGATGGTCTGGGGGGGGACAGAAGGGAATCAGGGGACGCCAGGAGTCACGGAGCAGCCCTCCAGGATAAGCCCACGCCGCTCCTCCCCGCTGCCCGCCTGCAACGGCAGCGCAGCTCCGAGCCCTCGGCGCTCAGAGGAGCCCCGCGCCGCCCAGCACCGACCCCCACGTTTCACCCGCTCAGATTTCACGAAGGAAAAGGGTTTTGCCATGGGTTCATGGGTTCAAACCCCCACCCCACCCCCCCTCCCCACGTTCCACCCATTGCTCTTCGTGCCGAAATCCCATTTCACCCACTGCTTCCACTCCAACCTTCACATGCACACACACACACAGCAGAGCACAGCACCTTTGCAGCAGTGATGTTCCCAGCCTGGACTTTTCTTCCAGACTCCCGTTTCACATTCTGACCTACAGGACACGGAAACAAACTGCTAAGAGCCGCCATCCCATCGTGCTCCTTCCAACCCAACTGCACGGTGATTCTGTCTTCTGGACCTACAGGATCCCTTCCAACACAACTACGCGGCAGTTCCTTGGCGCTGTGATTTTTAAGGTACAAACCGAAGCCATTCCATAGTTTTATGGTCTTCCAGGACCTTCCCAACCCCACAATTCCGTGGTTCTGTGGTTCTACGATCTTCCAGGACCCTCCCAATACAACCATTCTGTGATTCCACGGTTCTACGATCTTCCAGGACCCACCCAACCCCACCAGGTTGTAACACTACAGTTCTGTGATCTTCCAGGACTTTCTCCGCCCCACCATTCTGTGATTCCATGGTTTTGTGATTTTTCAGATCCTTCCCAATCCAAGGCATTCAGTGGCTCTATGGCCTTCCAGGACCCTCCCAGCCCAACCACTCTGTGATCCCACAGTTCTATGTCCTTCTAGGACCCTCCCAATCCCACTATTCTATGACTCCATTGTTCTACCGCTGTTCTACCACTGCTATGCCACTGAGCTTCCAGGACCCTCCCAATTCAACCATTCTGTGCTTCCATGGTTCTACGGCCTTCCAGGACCCTCCCAACCCCACCACTGTGTGACCACATGGTTCTGTGGCCTTCCAGGACCCTCAAAACCAACTGTGCTGCCATCCCACGCTTCTCTAACCTTCCACGACCCCCTCAACCCCACCCTCCCGCGATCCCACATTTCTCTCACCGTCCAGGGCCCCCCACCCCCCGCCCCCCCCCCCCGCTCCCGGGCCCGAGGATCCAACATGGCGGCGGGCGATAGCGGCAGGGATGCAGCGGCCGCCCCCCCACCCCGCGCACCCCCCACCCACGATCCCGTCGGCACCACGCGGTCCCCCGGGCACTCACTGAGCACGAGCACGGGGCGCGGGCCCATCATGGCGGCGGCGATGGCGGCGAACGAGAGCGCGGAACGGCGGCGGAACGTTCTGGAGCCGCCTCACACGGACAGCACTTCGCTCCGCCGCCGCAGCGCCTTGTCCCCGCCTACCGGCCCGCCGGGACCAATCAGAGGCCGAGCGGTGGGCCGTGCAGCCAATAGGAAGCGCTCTGAGCTCAGCGGTTCGGATGAGGGGAGGTAGGTGGTGCCGTGCTGTACTGCGCATGTGCAGGATGCCTGAGCCGAGCGCATGGCGGGAGCATTCAGAGCGCATGCGCAGTGGGCGGAATGGGCGAAACCATTGTGCGGTACTATGGGGGGGTGGGATGGACCATTGTACTGTGCTATGGGGGGGTGGGGTGGACCATTGTACGGTGCTATGGAGAGTAGGAGGAGCCGTTGAGCTCTGCCATCCGTAAAGCTCAACGTAGTGCAGGTTGAGGGACCGTCGGTGTGAGGTGACAGAGGGTGTGCTGAGGGGGAGGGCGCAGGGAGGTGGGATGGGATCTGGAATGGGGTTAAAGACACAGAGACAAGGTGGGGGCAGCGCTCCTCCCACCCTTTCCCCTTGCACTGTTCTCCCCCAGCACTGGGTAACCCCGTATCGGGGTGCAGGTTGGTGGGAGGCGATGCACGCAAACCCTGAGCCCCCCCTCTCCAACACAGGGACTGAGCACCAGGAGATGCACGAAACGCTGCAGCATTAAACCCTGAGCCTGTCCTCCCATCTGGTACCCCCTGCGCCCAACCTCAAACCACCGCTTCTGGGGCTGCAATGTGGGAATGGAACTTTTTCCCCCCGGAAAGTGG